TCTTTTCTTCTTTCCTCTCCTACTTCTTGCTGTCTACTTTACTCTACAGTCAACGAACAAGACAGAATTCTATGGCAGGTCAAACTTCAACAGGTACAATACTAGATTTGCTAAAATTGACCCTCAGCCCGGTAACTGATTCAAAGGTTTCGATCACCCTCTTCACATTAGAGATGTTTTCCAAGGATGCATCCAAGAATAGGATGACGTCGTCAGCAAATTGCAAGTGAGAAACCTGGACCATATCTCTTCCCACTTCAAAACCCTTAACCAAACTTAGTAATTTGGCTTTGTCAAATAGAAAATTAAAGATGTCCATCACTAAGGTAAAGAGGAGAGGAGAGAGTGGACAGCCTTGTCTAAGCCCTTGACTGGCCTTAAAATAGCCCTTAGACTCTCCATTTAGGAGCACTGAAAACCAAGATGAGCCAATGCATCCTTTGATCCATCTCCTGCCAAAGCCTCTCAGTCTCAAGCAGTCCAAGATACACTCCCAATCAACTTTATCGTAGGCCTTTTCACGGTCTAGCTTGACTAGAACCCCTGGTTTCCCACGAGCCTTTCTGTCTTCTACACACTCATTTGCAATTAAAATACTATCCACAATTTGTCTTCCTTTGACAAAGGCAAACTAATTTGGAGAGATCAGATCTTGTAGCACTTCTTTCAGTCTTCTTGCTAGGACTTTGGCCAAAATTTTATTAACACACCCTACCAAACTTATTGGCCTAAAGTCCTTCACTTCCGAAATTCCCCCTTTCTTTGGGAATAAGCACAGAAAGGTTGAATTTATGCCTTTATTTACTATGGCAGAGGAGTGGAACTCTCTAAAGAACATTAGAAGATCTTCATTAACAATATCCCAACACTTTTGGAAGAAAAATAAAGGGAAACCATCTGGGCCAGGTGCCCTGTCTCCATCCATGCTAAAAACTGCCTCTTTGATTTCCACCTCTTCGAAGCTTCTTCCCAACCAAACTTTCTTATCTACTGACAAAGTTGATCCTTCCCAAGTATTCAATCTGAAACTGTGCATGCTATCCTTAGAGTATAGGCTCTTAAAGTAGGAGAGGAAGACCTCAGTTATTTTTTCAGAATTTTCCACTTCTCTTTGGTTCACTCTTATTTTTGAAATGAAGCTTTTCCTTCTTCTCCCCGAGGCATACACATGGAAAAATCTGGAGTTATTATCTCCTTCTTTCAGCCACCTCACTCTAGATCTCTGCCTCCAGTAAACTTCCTCCTTTCGGACCAACTTTTCCCAAGATTTCCTCAGCTCAACTCTTCTTCTTCTGCCTGGATCGTCTAAAGTGCCTTTTTGCTCTTTTACATCTAATTCATCCAATTCCGTGAGCATCTTCCTTTTGTCTTCTTCACCAGCTTTAAACTGTTCTTTTCCCCAAGATTTCAACTTCCTCTTCAGAAATTTTAATTTCTGTGGCAGTCTGAATCCAGCCCATCCCTCTACTTCACACTCCCACCAGCCAGCTACCATCTCCTAGTCTAAAAATGGGTCCACCATTTTTCTAGTCTAAAAGGAGGCTTTCCTCTTGAAATTAGATCTGTGTTCAATTTAATGGGCTAGTGGTCTGAAATGCAATGATGACAGAGGTCTTGGGTTAGACTGGGAAATCTTTCCACCCAATCTTGAGATAAAAGGAACCTGTCTAGTCTGCAGCTAATTGTGTTTTCCTACATAGTTGACCAAGTAAATTGACCATTCTTGAGAGGGATGTCACATAAATTGTGTCTGGAGATGAAGATAGAAAAATTTTTCATACTTCTTGTTGAAGCTCTACCATTGGAATGTTCTTCGCTGAATCTTATTACATTGAAGTCTCCTGCTACACAACTTATAAGCTAAATTTCAATTTAGACCAATTAAGATCTTTTAGTCCACTACCATCAGTAAAACAAGAACTATGCAAATTGAAAGTCTATGAGGTTTAAAGATGTTTTGGAACATTAAAATGGCTCTATTCAGAAATAAAAGTGGTGGAAATTTCAAGATTACAATGAAGAACCACTTTTTTAAACATGAATCATTTTTAGATTATGGGCCTGTCCCCTTTTTAGGATAGTAGGTGGGAATACATCCTTGAGGTGGCCAGGGTTTGTGAAAAAATATTCTTGGTTACATCAGTTATCTGCACATTTAGTTCAATGAAATTTTCTAAATTTTAAGATTCTCTTATTTTTTCAAATGACCAAAACCAGTGGAAAAATAAATATCTAAAACCTTGAAAATAACACCTACCACATCAGATGAATCACAATATAGCTTAGTTACAGAATCACCACGACCAAGCTCCTCAGCTATCCCATATGAAATATATACACGTGGACCTACATCTGGTTTTGAGAATTCCTTTGGTAGCTTGACAGCAAGGTTCAGAAGACCAGTGTCAGGATTTGTATATTCCTGAAATGGTAGAGCATGGATAAATTCAGCATTATGAGCAGGGAACTGTTCTTGAAACAACTTGGGAGAAGGCCAATCCTTCAATTTTAGCATCTCAGGCCACAAATTAGCATGTGTACGTCCCTCCAAATATCCTTTAAAGAACTGCTGGATCCCAATTTCTACCTGTCAAGTAGAACAAAAGCAGGATGTAATTTACTTCAAACAGATAAAAGCAGTGTCAAGCACACCATAAACAGGATAGAGAAAACAACATACCCCTATATTAACCATTTTTTATCAGTAACAAATCAAGAAATGTTTTTATTATTATCACTATTCGTCATGCATTTTGTTTGATATATTGAATATATAATATGAGAGAATAGAAATGTGCCCAAACTTTTTCCAGACAATTTTTATAAATTTTATAATTATATATATTGAATAAAATTTTTTATTATCTAATTATAACATCATGGGTTGGCCCATTTGGCTTGCATGTTTAAACTTGTTACCCACCACCCCAACGAAAAAAGTAGTTTCATTTCTAGTCGATTTTAAAATTTGTATTCCATTTTCATCATTAATAAGCATAAGTTCTGTTTATTACAATGAATATATGATATTAGTGACATGCCTAAAATTTTATAATTTTTTTTGTATTTCTATTTATTTTAAAAATATTACTATTTCATTATAACAACACGGATCGTCTGCCCATTTGACCTAGATGGTCGAACCATTGATCCACCTCCTGAACAAGAAAACAGTTTTGCTTGCTAGTCAATGTTAAATTTTCCATTTCTATCATTAATAAATATACTTCTTATTCATCATGCTTATTTTTTGTTTAATAAGATGTATAGATAATATTAGAGTGTTCCAATTTTTTCTATAAATTTTTAATATTTTTAATTTTTGTATCTATCTATTATTAATTATGACATCATGGATTGGCTGATTTGTGATTTGACTAAGATGGTTGAATTGCTGACCTACTAGCCAAATGGAAGAATGGCCTCATTATTTGGTTGAATTTAATAGTTTTTATACTATTAAAATTATGTGGTATAGCCATGTAGATTTAATTAGTGAAACATTTATACAAAATCAGTGGATTTGATGAATTAAAATTGATGAAGACAATGATAGTTTCAATGTTTTTATCAAAACCTATGCAACAAATAGACCTTCATAGGCCGTGCTTCAGGCTCAACCTTGCACTATTTCGGGCTCGAGCTTTAGGCCGGGCCCATTCAAATTTTGGCAAAAGCTAATCCAAAGCACAGCTGATGAACAGATCTAGTAACTAAGACATGTCCGGATTTAGTACGAATGCAAGTGTGCAAAACTGGTTGTGTGACACAAATTTTGGGTGGGGAATGCCCCTCTTAAGGACTTGTTTCCTTCTTTGTATGCCCTTTCTGAATTAAAAAATGAGCCAGTTTCTACCTTCATTACCCCCTCATCTTCCTCTTCTGGGTTTGGGTGGAATTTGGGTTTGAGAAGGGTTGTGAGAGATACAGACTTGGATAGTATCCCGAGCCTCCTTGGTATCCTTGATAATGTTTTCTTGGAACCTATTAAGTTGGATTCTAGAATCTGGGCCCCCACTCCCACTGGCTCATTTTCTTGTGCCTCTTTTTTCTAGTTGCCCCTCCCTTCCCAGTTAATGAGGTTTGGTGCAGACCAATTCCCCCTAGAGTTGGTAGTTTTTGCTAGGACGCTTTTCTGGAAAGAATCAATACTGGTGATATGCTCCAAAAGAAGAGACCCAAGACATGTTTATCCCCTCACAGGTGTGTTCTCTATAAAGCGGATGGGGAGACTGGTTTCACCTATTGGTGACTTGCCAGTTTGCTAAGTCCATTTGGGTGTGGGCATTATCCCTCTTTGGGTGTAGGTGGAATCCTCCACCAAATTGCAAAGCCTTTTTTCCCCTTCTTCAGGTGCCGAATGAAAAGGGGAAGGACCATGTGGAGATGTTAGAGGGCTGCAGTATACCGGGCTCTGTGGGAGGAAAGAAATTCCAGGATCTTCTTTGAAGTAGAGAGAGGCAATGAAGAACTGAGAGAACTGATCCATATAAGGGTAGTACAGTGGCTGAAATCTTCAAAGCTATTTACAGACTTCACAGTGGATTACTTGTTGAGGAAGTGGGGTGAGATTGCTAACTGCACCCAGACCAAAACAGTGTTGAGTGTGTCTTGGACCCCCCACCGGCGGGTTTTTTTAAAACTAAACTTTGATGGGAGTAGTTGGGTGAATCCTGGACAATCAGGGACTGGAGGTGTGTTTAGGGATGAGAATGGGTTTGTTTCAGCCATGTTCTCAGGCCCAATTGGAGTGGGTGACTCTCTCAAGGCTGAGATCTTTGTAGTTTTGGAAGGAGTCCAAAGAGCTAAGGAGATGAATATAAGAAAACTCATCATTGAAGGGAACTCGAAGGTGGTGGTAGGGTGGCTGAATAAAGAAAATAGCAGGTTATGGATGTACAGTAATGAGAGAAGGAAATTTAGGTGGCTGGTTCAAGAGATGGAAGTTTAGATCAGCTGGGTGAAAAGATCAGCTAACTCTTTTGCTGATGAGTTAGCTAAGCAAGGAGTCGAGAGGGAGTCAATGTTTTGGACACAAGTGTATTTTTTTCTTTTTTCTGTTCTTGGGAGTTCAAGCTCCAGTTGGAAGATAAAAAAGTTTATCTTCCTCCATGTAATACCTTTGTGATTAATTAATGAAATGTTGTTATTGATCAAAAAATCATAACATTGATGTTCCTTGTGCATGGACCCATGTGAGATGTAGGCCCCATGTGTATGGAACACTGATTTGTTCCCTCGTGATTGGTCACACAGTAGATTTACACACTTGTGTTTGTAATAGATCTTGTGGCAACAAAGACAAGTAATTGAAGAATGGTGTACTGGTGCATTTATTGCCCTTCAACTTAAAGATTAGCTTCAAATCTTCTTGTTTGTATTTTGCATCAATGTTTCTAATTTGTAGTTGAAGCAAATAGTCGAATTGATAGACCTATCACCCATACAAATTTAATCAAAGTATGTTATCAATCTAATCATTGCAAAAAATAACATTGACTTGGTTAACAACCAAATGACCTTATTGGTTGAACTATTTACCTATTTGACCAGATCAGGACATAGGTACGACATTAACTCCCTTCTTTGTATTCTTAGCCATTTTCATCATTAACAACAAAAGATCTCAATTTTCACACATATTTTTGTCTAATATAAATTTTTATTGTTATTATGTAATTTATGAATCTCATGTTTATTTGTTAGATTAAGAGGGAAATATTCCAATTGAGTGTGAGAGGAATTCTTAAAGGAAATGGAGAGGAGAAGGTCGATTGGGTTCAGGTGGTTAAGAGGTATGTAGGAGTTGAGCAAGAGAAGACGAAGTCAAAGCCTAAGGTGTTGAAAAGTTTCGATGGTGATAGTTGCAAAGATTTTTCCCATTTCCTTGGTTCCTAAGGTCGAAGATGAAATGCATGCAAGAGAAAGGTGTAGCAAGTCCAATGAGGTGGTTCTGGGGCAAGAGTCAAGTTCTCTTAGTCCTGATCTGGGTGTTCCTTACAATCGGTCCTCTTCATACAGTTGTGGTGTAGCCAATGGGAAGACTGTTGATGGCACAAATGGGGAGGAAGCCAGGTGCGATTTAGGCCTATGCCTAGGTATGATGGTTGCTAAAGATTTGAATCAAAACAATTGTGTTGGCCTTGGTATCAGAGTGGAGACCATTCCTGAGGTATGTCTAGCTCAGTATCTTCAGAATGGGATAGGGGACTCTTCTCTGGGGGAGCTTGGGGTGAAGTTTTTGGTGTACAGTTTTCTAAAGTGGTTATGGGAAGGATTGGCGTCAATATTGGTAGGAGGAGGGCGGAGGTTGAAGAGAACATCTGTGCTAAAGAAGCAGAACAGAGTAGGGAGTTATGAGATTCGAGGATTCAAGCAGATCACATCTGGTTCATGTGACAAAGGTGTTCTCACCCCTTAAAGGTCTGGTTGGGTTGGGTCCTACTAATAGATTTAAAAGAATCTACAAAAGAAAATTCTCAAAAGCAGTGGATAAGTTTTAGTTGCGATCTGGGGGGCAGAGCTTGGTGGACTAGCAGTTGTTGAGTTGCAAGTTGTCTAGTAAGTCAGCGGCTATACATGTTCAAGAGAACGAAATAGTGGACTCAGGTTCGGCCAAGGACAATGGGGGTGGCAAGGAAGTTGAAGGATGAACAATGAAGATAGGAGAAGATGCTTCGACAATGTCTGTTAATGCTAACATGGTGGAGGAAAGGGTTGATTTGGAAAAAAATGGTTGACAAGGAGGTTCAGTGGCAAGATGTTGGGTTTGTTCTTCTTGGGTGAGGAGGAGTTCACTAGGAAGGCCTTTCTGGCTTGGGAGAATAAAAAACTAATGAACACTTATTGATAATGATAGCATTAATGGGATTTAGAAAAAGCCTATCACCTGGTTAATTGGGAAGTCCTCCTAAAAATACTAGAAAGACTAGGATTTGGAGTTAGATGGAGGTCATGGATTAAAGGATGCTTAAGTTCAACTCACTACTCAATCCTAATCAATGATACAGCAAAGGACTTCTTCCCGGCTAGGAGAGGAATTAGGCAAGGTGACCCCCTATCCCCTTTCTTGTTTACACTAGTGGCAGAAGTGTTAAGCAGAATGGTGGCAAAAGCTAATGATCATGGCTTTTTTAGAGGTTGGAGGGTAGGTAGAAATCAGGTGATTGTTACCCATCTCCAATTTGTAGACGATACCATCTTTTTCTGTGAAGGTAACAATGAAGCAGTGGAAAATCTGAGGGTGCTGCTGAATAATTTTGTGGAAGTGACAAGGCTGAGGATAAATTGGACCAAAAGTGGAATTGTAGGGGTCAACTTGGAAGAAGGAGATCTAATAAGATTTGTTGAGATCTTGGGGTGCGAGACCAGAAGCTGGCCTATCAGTTACCTATGTCTACCTTTAGGAGGAAACCCTAGGTCAATTGGGTTTTGGAAACCAGTTTTAGAAAGGTTTGATAGGAAGTTAGCCCTGTGGAAAAGGAATTACATTTCTTTAGGTGGAAGAATAACCTTGATTAGAGCCACAATAGAAAACCTCCCCACCTATTTCCTTTCAACCATTAGAATCCCTTCTAGGGTAGCAAGGTGCTTAGAGAAGTATATGAGAGATTTCCTTTGGGATCCAGGAGAGGAAAGGAAGGACCATTTGATCAAGTGGGAGAAGGTTAGCGAACCTAAGGAACAAGGGGGTTTAGGAATTGGGAACATCCTATTAAGGAACACAGCTCTACTAGGTAAATGGCTTTGGAGGTTTCCCTTTGAGAGCGACAGACTATGGCAGAAAATGATTGAGAGCATCCATGAGGTGAACGGAAATGGCTGGGATGCAAAAATCTCCCCTCACTATTCTTTGGCTTCTCCTTGGAAAGCAATACATGAAATCTACCCTAATTTCCTTAATTCCATCCGGTTCGATGTGGGACATGGTAATAAAATTCTATTTTGGGAAGATCTTTGGGTAGGAGAAACCCCACTTAAAAATCAATTTCCTGGTCTCTTTGCGCTATCTAACCTCAAGGGGGAAACTATATCCATGTTAGGAGCACATTGTCCAAATGGTGTGAACTGGAACTTGGGCCTCAAAAGGGGACTAAGGGAAAACGAGTGTGAGTCTTTAATCCTATTGTTGGATCTTCTAGGGAAAATCCACTTGGACCCTTTGCTAGAAGATTCTAGAATCTGGGTAGGCTCTCCAGACAGTCTCTTTTCCTGTTCTTCCTTCTTCAAAGTACTTGCTTCCCCCAACCCCCTAGGTGGGGATTTCCCTGTGAAAGAAATTTGGTGCAAGCCAATTCCCCCAAAGATTCAAGCCTTCTGCTGGGAATATTCCTTGGTAAGGTAAACGCTTGTGATATCCTACAGAGAAGAAGGCCATACATTTGCCTTTCTCCTCATGTGTGCTCTTTGTGTAAGGAAAGTGGTGAGACCCTATCCCATTTAATGATATCTTGTTCCATTGTGCTCCAAATTTGGGAATTCTTTTGTACTCTCTTTGGTTGTAGGTGGGTTCCCCCTGAAGATGTGGCAGGACTCTTCAATCGTGACTTCTTGAGACAACGAAAGAAAAGAGGGAAGGTAATGTGGAAAGAAACAAAGGCAGCAATTTGTTGGGTAATATGGGAAGAAAGGAATAATAGGATTTTCTCAGAAAAAAGCAGAACAATAGAGGAAGTCATTGATAGCATCAAGGTGAAAGTAGCTCATTGGGTAAAACCCATGGATAGCTTTCAAGTCTTCTCAATCACAGACATTCTAAGAACCTGGCCTGAAATAGCATAGTCATCGAGAGTAAGAGATAAAGTAAGGCTGGAGTTGAAACCACTAGAAGGCAATAAAGTGAAACTAAATTTTGATGAGAGCTCCTTTGGAAATCCAGGCGTTTCAGGAGTAGGAGTATTCAGAAATTCTGCAAGGAAGATATTGGGTCTGTTCTCAGGACTATTGGCACCGGAAACTCACTGAAGGCTCAACTTTTGGCATTACTACAAGGGTTAAAGTTAGCCGAGCAGTTAGGATACAGACATATTGAGGTGGAAGGGGACTCAAAAGCAGTAATTTCCTGGGCAACAAACAGTAGGCATACCCCGTGGACATTTAAACAAGTTATTAGGGAAGTGGAAAATATTGCAAAGGAGGTTGAGGCTGAATTTAAATGGGTCCGAAGAAGTGAAAATGGGCTAGCTGATGCTTTAGCAAAACAAGAAGCATTGAGACAGCAACTATTTTGGGCTGCACTGTAATGAGGGATAGAATAGAGTGATTAAAGGGATCAACAGTCCCATCACCAAGTTGTATAAACTGTTTACAATCTGAAATTTAATAAAATACATGTTTTACTAATCAAAAAAATAATGATAGCATCAATGTTGAAGCTAGAGGATGTTGAGGAGTAAGCTTTTAAGCTTGGCAGTAGGTTGTTGATGGGAGGGAGGGAGTTTTTGTTTGTTCAAAGTGGAAGTTCTCTCGGGTGATATCTTATCACCTTCCTACTGTATTTTCTGTTTATTTTTAATTAAATTTATTTTACTATAAAAAAAAGGCTATTTAGAACAAGGTCATTTACTAATGTGGTTTTTGGGATAAGAGGGTGTGGTAAATACTGATTCCTTTTGTTGGTTTTAGGTTTTTAGCATCTGCTTTTCAGGCACACAATCATGCACCAAGAAAAGACTAAGTAGATTTGGTAAAACCTAGAAAGTACAAATTATAGTCATCCTCAAGCTGTCAGACACTGGAAGAAACAAAATCAAAAGAAACAAAAAAAAAAATTAAATTATGATCAATAAAGTTACAATAAACAAAATTTTATCAAAAACAGTTACAATAAACAAAAAAAAGGTTAAAACTATAATTTGAAATAGATGGCTGCCTTTGAAGATGAAAAGTACTAAAGCAACAATAACACTTTTTTCTTTTTCTTTTTGAAAAGATAAAATAATTGAAACAGTAAATTGATCAACATAACAGTACTAACCTCACACCAATCCAAGCAATCTGTAGCCTTCAATGCCTTCACATCATTCCCAGATTTGGTACCACTCTTTTCAAGAAAAGTCTGGAACATCACCGCTGGATCCCAGCTCAAACTTGGTGTATTCTGAAGCACGTTACGAACTATTACTGGTTGGCCTTGAGCAAGATGCTTCTGAAAATGTTCAAGGTTTTCATGTTGAATGTCCTGTACAGTTGGACAGTACAAGTAGTTATCATAAGAACCTTCCCTGCTAGCTGCTTTTTGCAACTTCTCACCAATTACCTCAACTTTATCATGTGTGCCAGTACATAAAGAACAATGGGAAGAAATATCTAAAGTATCTGGAAAATCATAACTACATGCTATTTCCTCAGCACTTAATTCCAGTTCTTCAGTCCAGGTTCGTGGGAAAACACTTCTCAACTCTAGGAGTCCATCACCACAACCACCAAGCTCTTTAGGCGGGCAAGAAATACTGCCATCACCATTACATTTCCAGTCTGGTAATAGTAGAGAAGGAGCTGCCAGTTCACCAACTTTACTTTTTCGGGAAGAGCCTATCTGCCTCATTCCTGGGAGATGCTTGACAGAAGAAGCATAATTTTTCTTTTTACTAGAGCATGCAAGCATAACCATTCCAGTGCCTCCAGGTAGGTTGCCTTGGCGGATCTCTTGACAACAACTTAGGCAAAGGTCATATAAACAATTCGAGCAACTTCTATGAAAATCTACAATGGAAGTTCTGCAATTATCACTGTCCAAAAGAACAACATGCATCAGACAGGGAAATGCCTAAAAGGTGAAACTTTGTCAATGAAAGTAAAACCTCCCTGTAGTATTGAACATACCAGCAAAGTTGTTCATCATAGCCACATTTTGCCTGCTGAATCTGGATTTCAGAAGCCATTTTTCCTGCAAAGAAAAAGAAATGTCAATACAAAAAAAAAAAAGAATAAATTTTATAGTGCAAGGTGCAAAATAGAATTATCACCCACAACCTTTTAGCTTGGCCTCTATTTCCAGTTCAATTCTCTGTTCAACATTGATTTGTTTCAGTACTGGAAGAAGTAGACAGATTAAATAATGGAAATGTAGGATTTTGTCAACTTTATTTTGACCTTTCACAAAATCCTGATAAGATGTCAAATATGAATTTATAGTCAGCATGAAATTCTTAAATTGGCAGAGAAAAATTAAATATAGAAAAGAAAAAAGGAAAACAAAGAAAGAAAGAAAAAAAAAATGGTGCAGCAAATACCTCAGGTCCACCATCCTTTAATTTATTATCCAAGCATATCTTGCAGTTGCAGGTGCTGCGGCAAACTGGGCAAGCCATCTTAACTTCTTTCTCTGGCATCTCAGAGTACCTAAATTTCGTTAAACTTTAAACGTGATTGGATCATGAAGAAAGCACATCAAATGAACATATATAGCGCATTGATTTATAACTTCTAGTAATGTTGGACCATCCAACCATAATAAAAAAGAAAAGGGAATTCTTTAATCATCGCAGAACCACACTGCCTCAAGCTTAAATAATAAAATTAAATATGTAGCACTTGGCTATTGAAAACAGGACTTACAGAAATTGGATTACCTGTTTTTTATTTTTTAAGCAGATGCAAGGTAGGTCTGACCAGCAAAAAGAAAGGAAAAAATACTTTAAATAAAAGATTGTACTTGAGGAAATAAGAAGAGAGCCCCCAATTTAAAAGCCCTTTAGTCCAAACTTCTACGGAACTTGGTGCAGACCCTTTGAAGCCTGGTATATTGTGCCAATCCTCTTTGGTTCCTTCTTGCGACTCGGCTAACCCTCCTCTCTCTCCTGTTGTCTTGTCTGTCCAGCCTGCAGGTGTTTCCAGGTCCTGCCCAACAGCTGTCATTCCTAGCGACTCGGTGGGAGTAACAGAAGAGATAGGGGATGGTGAGGCTGTAGAAGGGTCTAAGGAGGAAGGGGAGCGAATTTGGAAATTAATAGTGATCCTTTTCCGAGCAGTTGGTAGAGGTGGAAATTCATTCCAAGTTGGGATCAAAAGAGGGGGCTGAATGAAGATAATCAGTTGGAATGTGAAGGGACTGAGGAGTTCAAGAAAAAAAAGTGTAATTAGGGAAGTACTTAGGAAAGAGAAACCGACCATTGTCTTAATTCAAGAGTCAAAGCTGACAGAGGTGGATAGAAGATGGGTGAGGAGTGTATGGTCAGCTAGAGGGTTAAGCTGGGCATTTACACAATCATGGGGAGCATCAGGAGGCATCATTACAATATGGAAGAATGAAGAGATGGACTGAACTGAAGAAACTAATTGGCAATTTTACAGTAACAATCAAATTGAGAAGGAAAGAGGATGGTTTTGAGTGGGCCTTAACCAACGTCTATGGACTTAACTCGTATAGGGAGAGGGATGATTTTTGGGAGGAGCTTGCAGCCATTAAGGGTCTTTGGAATGCACCGTATTTGGGGGGTGATTTCAATGTCATAAGATTCCTAAATGAGACTACCAATCCAAACCATAGGGTAACCTACAGCATGAGAAAGTTCAACCTATTTGTGGACTCATATGAACTGAGAGAGCTACCCATGTTGCAAGCAAACTTCACTTGGTCCAATTTCCAAGAAGAACCCCTATGTTGTAAATTAGATAGATTCTTATTCTCTTCAGATTTCGAATTTGTGTGGAGGGGACTGGCAGTAAGGGTTCTCCCTAGACCTACCTCAGATCATTGTCTAGTTAGGTTATCCCAAGAAAACTTAGGAGGGGGCCATGTCCTTTCCGGTTTGAGAACGTGGTTGCTTCATCCTGATTTTATAAAAAAAGGCCCTAAAAGCTAGAATCAAAGCCTGGAATAAGGAGAGGAATTTGGAAGAGTGGAAGAAAGAAAAGAGTGGATTGCCAATAGGATTCAAGAAATTGATGGAGGTGAGGCAGAGAGGAGATTGACAGTAGGAGAGAGGGAAGAGCGTTGGAAGCTGAAACAGGAGTTGCAGGAAAACATAAGGAAAGAGGAGATAAGTTGGAGACAAAAATCTAGGTGTAAGTGGCTCAAGGAGGGAGACGGGAATACCAAATTTTTTCATACCTTAGCAAATGGAAGGAAGGGGAAGAATTTTGTGGGGAGGCTGGAATGGAATGGGGAAGTGATTACAAGTGAAGAGGACATAGCAAGAGCTTTTGTGGATCATTTCAAATCCATTTATGACAGCCCAAGAAGAGAGAGAGAGAGAGAGAGAGAGAGAGAGAGAGAAGGAGAAGAAGAAGAAGAAGAAGAAGAAGAAATTCCTGACCTTGATTGGCTTCCAAGGAATAGAGTTTTGATGGATCAGCTAGAAAAGAATTTTGAGGTCCAAGAAGTAAAAGATGCTTTTTTTATGAATTAAAAGATGCTATTTTTTTAATGGAAACATCTAAAGCCCCAGGCCCAGATGGTTTCACGATGGCCTTTTACCAAGATTGTTGGGATATTATAGGTGGTGATTTAATGGAGGTCTTCTTGGAATTCTTTGAGAGAGGTGTAAGATAAATTCAAGTGCCAATGCTACTTTCATAGCTCATATTCCTAAAAGGTAAATGCAAACCACCCAAAGGATTTTAGGCCCATAAGCCTAATCGGTAGTATGTATAAGGTAATCTCAAAGGTCGTGGCAAAAAGAATAAAAAAGGTACTACCATCCTTGATTTCTCCGAACGAAGGGGCATTTGTGTCAAGAAGGCAAATTATTAATCAGATCCTTATTGCCAATGAATGTGTGGGTTACAGAAAAAAACAAGGAGAAAATGGCCTCATTTGCAAACTAGACTTGGAGAAGGCCTATGATTTGGTGGATTAGGGTTTTTTACTAGAAGTATTAAGAATTAGAGGATTTGGAAAGAGGTGGTGCATGTGGGTTAAGGGTTGTATCTCTTCATGCCACTACTCCATTCTAGTTAATGGGGCAGCCAAGGATTTCTTCTCGGCAAAGAGAGGTTTAAGACAAGGGGACCCTCTTTCCCCTTTCCTTTTCACCCCGATAGTTGATGTGTTGAGTGTCCAGATTACTAGAGCCGATGCTAGAAATTTGCTTAGAGGGTGGAGAGTAGGGAGGGAGGAAATAGTTGTAACCCACCTTCAATTTGCTAATGATTTGATTCTTTTGTGAAAGAGATCTAGAGGAGTTGGAAAATTTAAAGGTCTTGGTAGAGAATTTTGAAAAGGTCTCCAACTTGAGAGTAAATTGGAATAAAAGTTGTGTAGCTGGAATTAATAGGCAAGAACCAGAGGTGGCATCTTTGGCTAGATCTCTAGGTTGTGAGGTAAGTGATAGACCTCTTAAGTATTTAGGCTTACCTTTGAGAGGAAACCCGAGGTCAAATAGCTTTTGGTACCCAGTTTTGGAAAGATTCTCAAAGAGACTAGCAAGTTGGAAAAGGAACTACATCTCTTTAGGGGGGTAGAATCACTCTAATTAAGTCAACACTAGCAAATTTGCCAGTGTATTTTTTGTCTACCTTCAAATTGCCTGTTAAGATTGCAAACCAAGTTGAAAAAATAATGAGAGATTTTTTGTGGGAACCTGGAGATACTATAAAGGATCATAGGGTAAAATGGGAAGTGGTGTCTAGAAAGAAAGGCAAAGGAGGCTTAGGGATTGGAAATATTAGAATAAGAAACACAACTTTGTTAGGCAAATGGTTATGGAGGTTTCCTAAGGAGCAAGAGTTTTTATGGCATAAGGTGATAAGAAGTATTCATGGAATTGCAGCAAATGGATGGGACGCTGGACTCGACCCAAGGGCTTCGTGCTTTTCCCCGTGAAAAGATATTGTTCGTATCTTGCCTGTCTTTTCTCTCCTTTCATCAGGTATGATGCTTGCATAGGTAATAAGATTCTTTTTTGGGAGGACTTATGGATTGGGGAATCTCCCCTTAAGGATAGATTCTCGAACCTATATTCCCTTTCTTTGAAAAGTTTCAATTTATCTCATTTTTCATGTTTCTGGGGATTGGGATCTTGGACTAATGAGAGGTTTGAGGGACTCAGAAGTGGGTTTGACAGATGATCTTTTTTCTCTTCTAAGCTTAATTTTTCTAGACCACTCTTCTCCTGACAGTAGAATTTGGACTAAAACTTCTACGGTAGTTTTTCTTGTTCTTCATTTTTCAATGCTATGGTCCTTCCTTTTAACCCAGTTACCTCCTTTCCTGTTAAAGAAGTATGGAGCGCTCTCGTACCCCCAAAAGTAAGGGATTTTTGTTGGGAAGTGGTTCTCCAAAAAATCAATACCTTGGAAGTGCTTCAAAAAAAGAGGCCAAATTGGTGCTTGTCCCCTCATGTGTATAGCCTTTGCTTGAGGAATGGTGAGATAGTGAATCACCTATTAATTTCTTGTCCTTTTATTGCTCTAATTTGGGATTGGTTCTCCCCTATCTTTGATTGTAGGTGGACTCCCCTCACAAGTGTAGCGGAATTATTTGACCCTAGCTTTTTCCGACAACCAAAGGAGAGAGGAAGGGTGATGTGGAGAACAACGAGGGCAGCTATCTTGTGGACAATGTGGGAAGAGAGAAACAATAGGATTTTTCCAAGGGAAAGAAAAATCAGCTCCTGAAGTTATTAAAGGGATCACCATCAAGGCAATACATTGGCTGAAAACTCCTGAAATTATTGAAGGGATCACCATCAAGGCAATACATTGGCTGAAAACTCTCGACTTGTTCAAGGATGTCTCTGTAGATGATTTGACTAGAGGCTGGAGTATTTTAGCAAGGTCTTTTTTTTTATGAATGATAATAAATTTATTAATTCAGAAGCAGATTTAGAGTGAGTTCATACAACACCCCAGGGAGAGGCGCGAGCTGCAGCCCCTCCTTGAATCTTACAAGTAAACTAGGAAAGAAAAGCAAGAATCACAACTGAGCCCAAAAAAAATCTTCCCTATTTACCCCT